AAAAAAAAAAAAAAAAAAGAGGATTACCTTTGGAGGATGTATACACATCACATTAGTAAATAACTTATATATTTCATCCTCATCTGATCGTTTACTAGGTTTTAATCCCTCCGTAAGTGTCTTCAAAGAAAGAGGCTGAAAAAGGAAACATCCTCGTGTTATCTCAAGAATGCTATAGCCCTCTACTGAAGCAAGACAGTAATGAGTCGAAACAATTTATAATATAATAATCCACACGTATGATCTGAATTGTGTGGACCAACATTTGTCATCTAAATAATATCAGGTAGCAGGTAGCGGCAAAAGAACATGCAAATTATACACCAATGTCTTATATTTGTATCTTGTGTGACAATAACTACTTAAATATACATATATCTCGTTGGAAATGTCAACAAGATTTGATTGTGGAAATGAACAGTATCTGGAGGCATTTTTTTCTGTCCCACGTTAAATCAGATGATTTTATTTTGGATCACTAACAATGTCATGACGCACCCGTGACTAGAAAACGTGCTGACAGAATGATTTTCGGATACCTGAAATTCCCTAACAAATTAGTGAGGTATTCTACCTCGTTTAGCAGCTGTAAAATTGAGCCATACTTAAAATCATGCACACTAAGATATGTGAACTTTCTTTGCAGAAACATCAACAGAAAATACACGGCTTAAATTGGAGCTTATTCCATAGAAGTATAAAATTATAATGCATTTTGACAGACAAGCATGCCAAAGAATGATATCAGAAGTAATCAAATATAGATGACAATCAAATAGCTTCAGAGCCATGAGCATTACCAGCTTTGCCAGACGGCCCAAATTGGGAAGTATCATTGTCTGCTGAGAACCAAAAGAAAATGTTACAAATATAGATATCATCTCGTGTCGAGTATGGAAGCTACTGAACGCATCCTTCTGATTACAGATTTAAATCACAGAGGAGATCAAATTTAGGGTAGGTTCTGGTGAACTTAAACTTACAAATTTCTCCTTTTCTTTTGACCCACTTTCCACTTTATTTTGTCCACAGATCAAAACAACCGGTCCTGATAATCGGTCAAACATCTCTTGCATCTTGTCGATGAACTCTTTTCTATTTGACTTCGAAACTGCCCTCAAAAACCATAGAGAAGAGTCTGGAAAATAGACCACAAGTGGTTGTTGAGACTCCAAAATCTGCAGCCATCATTGAAAAAATGTAAAACAACAGAAATTATGAGTATATGCATTGCAGTCCTGTCCAATTATTTGAAACCCTTACCTCACAAAGGACTTCCATTGCAACATAAAAGTCGTGAGTTTGAGCATCAAGATCATGCTCTATATCCTTCGCTGCAAATGGTAAATAACAGAAAAGTAACTGCCCGTACTATCATTGTTCAGGAATGTATCAAGCCATTGCACACAAAGTTTTGTCACAAACGTGAAATACAGCATAATCTTACAACAAGAATAGAAAATAACATTTCCAAAGGCTCTTCAACGTTAACATTCCAGGTTATAACAGGGAAGTCAGTTATGTTCGATTCCTCAGATAAGGATAAAAAAACAGGTCACCCCAAAAGGTAATGACAATAAGTACCCCTTTCTACACACGACTAAAACGAGCTCCACAAAAGTACAAGACAGGATTTTAGAAAATGACCAGTCAGAACTCATGAAGATATGTAGCATGGAAATACATACAGTGTAAAATGAAATATTAAAAACACAATGCACTCAGCTTGACAGATTCCTGCTATAGTTGCAGTTGTTTACAAGTACAATGTACCATTAAGCCAACAAATTGATGGTTTTGTAGCAGTTTCTGCATTTTTCTCATCCTTTACTTCCTCTGTCTTACTACTAATGTCAAAAACAACAGCTACTTGGTCTCCATTTACTTCATACACCTCCCCTCGTTGCCCGCTGGACAAAGTCCTGAAAAATATAATATTTGTAAAACAAGTGCAAGCACTAATTGGATACATGACAAATATACGAATGCACCAAAGATGGTGAACAAGAATGTACATTTTCAATCAACAAAAAACATTCAGATACAGTTGAAGAATTCCAAAAGATATCTTAACTAAACCAAACAAAGAAACATGATGAACAAAGCTTGCTCAAAGAAGCCTACTTTAAGCAAACCACAAAAAAAAAAGGTACACTCCATGCTCGTTATATGTGGGCTAGTTCTGTGTTTATCAATATGCTCTCTACACGTTCATTATGACATCATACTTTAAGACCGAAGCCCGCAAAAAATAAAACTTAGCTTCACTACATGCATCTTAACAAATTACCAACCCACCTGCCACGAATTACAGTATAAACATTCTTTGGACCATCAGATGTCGGTATCTTCCCCAATACAATCCTGTGATGAATGACATATGTCAATGATCAGGTGCAAACACAAGCTCAAAGATCATGGCCAATGTGTCCTTCTGAAGAAGTTATGAACATAAATGAGTGTTGAAACGGCAACCTCAATCTCAAACCAACCTCCCACATCACTCACAGCCGGAAGGGTGAGAAGTAAGATTGGAATTTGTTAAATTTTCTATGTGCAGTTTGAATCTGGATCCTAGAATAACGTTCAGGGATAGGAAAACAAAGAAACATGTCCAAATGCCTCATCCCCATGAGACAAGCTTTATTGCAAGATATTAAGCATTTAAACTGTAGGTTTCTGACAACAGTACTCCTTTTAAGTGGGTATTCAGTATCATATGAAACGGAAAAGTGAAAAGAAAGAGTAAACAAATGAATAAGTGTTGTAATTCATGGAAAGCATGTCATGTGGAAAACCCTAGTGCAGCAACTTACACGATCAAAATAAAAAAGGCATCCATATCATTCTATATGCAGGAACTAAAGGTGTAAGATACTTAAGCTACAAAGAATACGTTATTTGACCTACATAAATTTTAACTTCTGTGTGTGGTTGATAAAACAAATTATGGAGGTAGTCAGTCAGGCATAGGTTCCTCTCCATCTTTCTTGGAGAGGATAACTGACAAGGCATTTCCCCTTTCAAGTTACAGCCTCTGACAGACAGTAACCCCAGTTTTTGTAAGCATTTTATTTGTACAGTAACCCCAGTTTTTGTAAGCATTTTATTTGTACTTCAAAAACAGCATCCCTCGTTATCAGCATCTCCTCTTTACTCATGAGGAAGCCTAACCCACCACGTAGTTAAAGGGAATTGGCAAATGACCAACAAAAAGCTTAATGGTTTCTCAATAGATGATCACAGGATCGTCGATATTGTGGGGTGTAATCCTGCAACCTCATCTTCAAAATTCCAGTCTACTTTATCTTGTCTAATTACTTCGATTTTTAATCTTTAAACCCAGTTTTCTCAATCAAAAGCTATAAAATAAAAGAATCATCGCCAGAAAAGAAAAAGGAGGCAATGCAGAAGTTTAGA